TTTCAGCCGGCCTGCGCCGCAGCGGTAATCCCGCTGCGCCGTCGCTGGTGGCGGGGCGGTCCGCGGGGGAAAAGCCCGAGCCCCCTCCGAAGGAGACGGGGAGCTCTGCCGCGCCCCCCTCTGCGCGCCTGATGCTCGTTCGGGCCTCGCCTCTTGGAGAAGCATGCTATGGCGTCCTTCGTATTGTCAGCCTTTTCCTGATAGGAGGCCCTCGTGCCTAAGGGGAACGCGTCTGGGCAAACGCTGACCTTCGTGCTGCCTGTTTCAGGGAGGGTTCTGCTGAGGGAGGTACAGGCGCTCACTCTCCACAGAGGCCAGTACACGACATCCCGGCGGACAGCTGCAGTCCCTCAGCTGCAGTGCACGGGAGGCACTGCTGGATGTTCCCGTGTCCCTGAGGTCGTCCAGTGTTACAACAAAGGTTGGGATGGCTATGATGTACAGGTAACTGTTTAAAAGTTGTTGAACGTTTAATGAAATCGTCTTCCCCCAGACTTGGTAGCTTCCAAAGGAGAAAAGAGTAACAGGCTAGGGGGTCAGTTCGGCTTGCTTTTTATTAGAGGACCTTTGGCAACTAAAGCTTAACCTAAAGAAAGCCTTCCTAACCTGGAAGACATTCTTTACGCTGAGGGTGGTGAAACACTGGCACAGGTTGCCCAGAGAGGTGGTGGATGCCCCATCCCTGGAAACATTCCAGGTCAGGTTGGACGGGGCTCTGAGCAACCTGATCTAGTTGAAGGTGTCCCTGCCTACGGCAGGGGGGTTGGACTAGATGACCTTTAGAGGTCCCTTCCAACCCAAACTATTCTATATTTCTATGATTAAATACTTCTTGGGTTTGGATTTTCTAGGACTACTGTAGGTATATCTTTGAAATATGCCTGAAGGCTGTAATGTAAGAACACTGCATAGCAAACCTTCGTTGGTTTTAATTAAAATGTTGCTGGAGTTCATAAAATCAAACTCTTGTGAACCCTTGAGGATGCTCTTGCTTTGGTATTGCTGCGTGGATTTCCAATTTTTAGAGTAGAAAGGGCTATAAATATTTGCATCACTCTAGCTCTACCTCTTAAAAACTAAATTTCAGGCTTACATGACTTCCTCTGGTGTGTCAGTACTAGTCAGTAAATAGTCATGCGTTTCTGTTTTGTTAGCTATTGCCCAGGCTTCTGCCAATAGATTAAGCAGGAATCAGAATTGTTAAAACTGATACAGTATTGTAAAAGTACAGTCAAATTTGAATTGGCAGTCAGTACTGCTGTCCTGAATTATTAGTTTAGAAACTACTACTTTTTTTTTTCCAAAATATGCATCACTTGCAGTTAGAGGTGATACCTAAGTTCAGATACTTCAAGGAGACATGAGACTGAGGAATCTGCACATATTCAACAGCAGAATCGCAATCTGAGTGTCAAGTGCTGCATATGAATGCCTAATGATATCTGTCCCAATTTCTTTTGATTTCTGTGTGGAAATAAATAGTATCGGGTGCACTGGATTTCAGGCTTCCATATTGTGTTTTTGTAGTTGCCATCTGTTTACATGGGACAGATATTTATTAAGTAACTGTTGCACAGGGTGTAGGTTATTTTTAGAAGTATTCCTATACCTAAAGAAGAGATACTTGAAAAACCTGTTCAGTGAAGAAAAACAAAATCTTCTGGAGTTGTAACACTTCTGTGTTCTGAAAGATCAGATTTTTTTAACTTTTAGGACTTTCAAAAACATTCTTAGTTAATTTCAAATTCTTAGTCCTTTTCAAAGTACGAGTGCTCAGAAATTTCTTACCCTGTGGCCTTTTAGATGATTTGTTAGCAATTACAGCTTTATTTCAGAGTATATTTGGGGAAGCAGACGGGTATTTTCACCTCGGGAGCAGGAGGTTTTACTTTGTATTGTGTTTATCTTTTCAGTGGCAGTGCAAAGCAGACTTGGAAAATACCTACCGTTTTGGACAGATCGAAGTGAGCTGTGAAGGCTACGATTATCCGGATGATCCTTACATCTTAAGAGGCTCCTGTAGTTTGCTGTTCAGGCTAGAGCTGACTGAGGAAGGTGAAAGGAAAGTGAAGAACTCTGGAAGTTTTGGTTCTGGCTATTATCAGTCAAGGAAGGATTCTTCTGATTCTGGTGCTGGAGCGATTGTTATAATTGTTGTTCTGGTTCTTGCTTTTGGAGTATACAAGCTCTTCCTCAGTAACCAGCAGCCTCAGCAGAGTTTTGGTGACGGTGATGGATTCACCAGGCCTTCCTGGCAGAGTCAGCAGGCTCCTCCTCCTCCTACTGGTTTTAAGTCCAGCTTCACAGGTAGGGCTCCGAGCCATTTACAGTACTCAAAAGAGCAAGCAGGATTGTACTGTTTTATCTGCAGTAGGTGCAGGAGAGATAGACTTTTAAAACCAATACGTTGGCAGTTGACTCTGCTGAATTGGCTGCAGACCCTGCAGCCAGCTTTGCATTCCGTTCTTCGTTCAAAAGCGAAAATAAGATCTTGGTTTCCCACAGGCTTTCAGGCAGGCTGTGCAGCAAGCTGCCCTTGGAACCTTTGAAACTCTGTCTGCTCATGCTCTGCAAACGTACTTTTCATACTCTGTGAAATACGAGGATCGTGACAGGGAAGAATAATTTTCATAAGTAATCTGGAAGAGAGGATAGTCTCACGCAGGCGGAAACAAACTCATGCCAAAGAAGCGCTTTGAAACTTCACAGAAGGGTCTTTCAGCCAGTGGGCTGCTGAGCCCTGATTTCGTTCACAAAGCAGTTGATAGGGTTGAGTATCATGTACCAGTCCTCTGTTTAACAGGTGCCTCAGTGTAGTCCCAGTGGCTGAAAGGTTTGGTTCCCAGAGCAGAGAACAGTGTCTCTGAACTATCGTTAGAGGTGCAGCACCTGAATCTCATGTGGTGCCTTTAGTCTGAAGCTGGAAATTGAATAAGCAGTGACAAGGCTGCTGCTAGGAAAAGGTGCATTTTTTCTTTTCCCAGGAAACTGATGACCTTTGTCACTTAATAAATGGACTGCCTTAGATGGTCATAGTGTCTAAGGGAAATAAACATTGTTCATCTGGTGTCTGACCAACTCATTAAACCCTGTGAACGCGTGAAATGCTCACAGCGCTGGAACTCAAATTACATTCTAACAAGCTGCATAATCTCCACATCTTTTCTTTTTTTGTGAGACAGAGAAGAGGTTCTGTCAAGTAAATAAGTAGCAAGGATTAAGTTCGCTTAGTCGAAAGGTTACATTTTAGTAATGCTTGTTAATGCTTTCTTCCAGGTTTGCTCGAGCCACTCGGCCAACAGAGGGTGCCAGTATAACTCTCTTGGATAGCCTTGTGCAGGGCATGTGCAGCAGAAACTTTCAGATGTACCTGCAGCAGAAAATTAAAGGGCTTCTGCTCCTGTATTATAGTGGCTTTGCAAATTGGTTTCCATGTCGTTATTTCAGACTTCAGACAGTCTGTCTATGCTGCTTGTGCGTCAGCAGCTTTGTGTGTGCATGCCACTTGCCACTGGCGTTACTGTGGTAATTACTAAGAGCCCTGGTCATAAGACAGGGCTCTGTCATACTGGGCACAGGCAAAACAGACTGAAGGGTTACTCTTTTTTCTGTCCTGTTCCTTGTCAATTAATTGCACCAATGCATTTTTCATTGCAAGAGTCTGAAATCTAGCAAGGGCAGGGCCTTTAAAATGTTTTCTTGATTAACACGGAAAACTGAGATGCTTAAAATGCATGTTGGGAGCCATATAAGGCTTAACTTATGGCGTTTTTAATAATGAGCATCAATGATTTCTCCTTAGATCTCAAACAGTGTGAGGAGGAAACCTCTTGAATGTGGGGCCAGCTTAAAAATACTAAGTGTTATGCTACTTCGTGCATTTAATATCTGCCTTAAATTTTGACAACGGAGCAAAAGCACATCTCTGAGTGTGTCCACACGTTCCAGGAATGTCTTTGGAAATCTGGACAGTAATGAAAAGTGATGAAGTGATATCATTTACTTACTGCTGTCAATACTTAATTTGCCTCACTTTAAATCCCCTTAACATGCAGAACGTGTCCTGTGAAACTTATTTAGCTAGCCTATCTTAACTAAATTCTGCTTTTTCTGTTAGTGGTTTGACGTGATCCTTAATGTTTACTTTAGATATTTCAACAAAAAAATGACTCAGTTTTCCGAGTCAGTGTTCAGCCATGGTGCTTTTGAACAAATGAGTTGATTCATCTCCCTGATTAACATCATTTTTACAGTAAATTAAGTACTTTTTTTTTTGTTCCAAATCAGCATAGTTTAATGGTTATATCATCCCAATGGGAGTTTCTTTCTCCTAATGCATTCAAAATTAAATTCAGTATCAAATCCAATGTAGACTTAAACTGATCGTTTAAATTTTTTTTTCTAATCTTCCATGACTTCAAACAATCCACACCAGCTTGAAGGCAAACCAGGCCCCGTATAACTTTTACACACAAAATCTCTGGTCCACTTGTTTAGGTGGGCATATTTCAGGGAGACCATAGTCTTCAGTCCTTGCCTTTTATGCTTCCTTATGCCTTAAACCTGTGGTCGAGCTTATTCTTGCATCCTTGTTGTTCCCTAGACTGGACAATGATTCTACTTTGGTTTTGCATCTTCTCTTTTTATTTCTAAATGGAAATTAGAACATTTGGTTCTGAGTCAGAACCTCACGTTACGCAGGTCACGTGAAAACTCTGTGACTCTCCTCCCCCCGCAACCCACTGGATATGCTTGCAGTTTCATCAAGGTATTTGTCAAGCTTGGTGACTCATGCATAATAAAAAGCATTGCAATGCGATTGCAGTTAGCATGTCTTCTCATAACAAATACCCGGCTAGAATTACCAGAAACAGTACAAAGTAATGTTCGCCATTGGGCTGAGCCACTGTTACTCAAAATGTGCAGCTGTTTTGAGTGAGATTAGAAGCAGTGTCCTAGTGGTTAGTTCACTCTTTGGTCTTAGGTACTTGATTTCTGTTCCTGCGTCTGTTTCTGGCCTGCTTGTGACCTTGAGCAGATCACTTTTTCTTCATTTCCTTTCCTATTTTTAATCTAACTTGTCTGTTTATAAAGTCTGCAGGCAGGGATTCTTTGCCATGTTTTGCAAACATCAGGGCTGTGAGATTGAGTGGAGGCTAACTTTTAACATAAAACTCTTTACATTATTTAGTGTTCGTTTCTATGTTTTTTCCTGCTTTCCGAACTGTGAGGCCTTTCAAGTTAAGCTCGATCAAGAATCTACTGAAATCAGGAGGAGTTTATGGTCTAATTTTCCATTATCTTTAACAGAGGAGAGTCTTGTTGCAACAGCTGGCCTGAGGATTAGGTGCCACTAACTGATATGTTTTCCATTTTCATTTTGTTTAAGAAGGAAACAGCTTTGGGACTCATTCCAGTCATGGAACCAGTTCAGGACCGGGATTTTGGACTGGATTAGGAGCAGGAGGCTTGCTAGGCTACTTGGCTGGCAGTCACAGGTAAAATACGCACAGTATCAGATTTGAAGCATTTAAGCTTGATTTCCCCACTCCACTCCCCCCCATTTCAGTAGCCACCTCTTATTGTTCAAGACTAGAGGCCTAACTGAATGTTTAAGTCCAAATACATGAACAAGCTTCCTAACTTGGGCTTCTTTTCTTTTAAAAACAGTCTTTGGTCCACTATTGGGTTTTTTTTTTCACTCTTTTGAAATGATGTGCCTGAAAATGCTGGTGTGAGATAGCTATTTGTAAATTTCAGCAGCAGGAAACTCCGTATCCATAGAAGCAAGTAATTTAAATCAGTGGGTCAAAGGTGATGATGTGTTAGTCTTATTGATACAACTTTTTCAAGATAGTTAACAGAACAGGGGGATGTTTTCTTTTGTCTTACGTGGCTGGGATGTAGGTGCTGCTAAAATGCATTTAAGCTTCAGATGTCAAATCTACTTTCTTGTCTGACAGAATTTCAGAGGGAAAAACTTCCTCATTTGCAATTGTTAGAATTGCTTATCCTGAAGAATGAGGTTTAACTTCCTTTTGGAATTCTACAGGTGTTATTGTGACAATGCTGGATATCCTTGCTATCAACATATGTTAATTATATTAAATAGGGAGATTTCCAGCTTTGAAACAACTGCCTGCTTACAGTTTTACCTCAGAGATGCAGTCCCCTTGTTGTTTGGGATGGTAATTCCTTAATTTTTCATAAGGGCACTAACGAAGCCTTCCTTCTGCTCTGTTTCTCATCAGGGCACAGCCACGTTCCCCGTACCACAGTATGTGGACAGATCCCACAGCTGCACCTCCAATGAATGGGCAGTCAAGCAATTCCACACAAGGGAGCAGTTCAGGAACAAGAACTGCTTCTGGTAAGGCAGAAGACCTTTTAAACTCCTGAAGCTCGAGGGACTTTGACCTATCAAAAATACACAGATGTTAGTTGAGGTTCAGCAAGCATTCTTTGTTTTATTCTACCACTTGGTACAGGTGGGCATTTAACAGTGTCCCTTATGTCTGTTTCCTACGGAAGCTGGGCAGCATTGTGGGGCATGAAACTCCCTGCAGGCCTCCGATGGGCATGGTACCTCCAGCACTGGGTTTGTCTTCATCTGCAAGGTGCATTAGTTTAAGGCTTTCCCCTTCAGTGTGCGCTACACATGCACTTCACTAGCAAACGTGTACAAACATGATTTCTTTCTAGAAAGCAGGTTGTCTAATCTGCAAGAATAGAATATTTTTCAGGCCAATCAGCTCAACAGTTGCTTGCTGTTCTACTTTATGTGAATATGTTTAACTCATCTCCCTTACCACCTTTAGCCTTTTTAGAGCTGGGGAGAGCCCAATTGGAAAGGCTTTGGTGGAGCTGATGCTTTTTTTTTTTCCTTTGCAGGCTTTGGGGGCACAAAACGAAGATGAAATCCTTGACATTATTACATCTGAGTGATTGAACTAAACCTTACTGTGTGCTAGCACTTTTTTAATTAGTAGTAGGCTTCAGAAGTGGATATGAGAAGAGGCGTGAAGGACTAGGCAAATAATTCCTCTTT